TACCATTTCGGCCCGAAAGTTGTGATAATTCAAATTTTTACAATATTTGCCCCTACCCCCCTGTCAAAGGGATATAGGCGTTAGAATCCATCTAATTGCATGTATGTACATTCATTATGGGGAAACTAGCCTTTTAAAAAAATATAATATTTTCCTCCAAAATGCTGAACCACCCCGGCCCTTACAACATCGGCCCGAAAAGTTGTGATAATTCAAATTTTAACAATATTTGCCCGTACACCCCTTTCAAAGGGTTATAGGGTCAGGATCGATCTAATTGTATGTATGTACATTCATTATGGGGAAACTAGCCTTTTAAAAAAATATAATATTTTCCTCCAAAATGCTGAACCACCCCGGCCCTTACAACATCGGCCCGAAAAGTTGTGATAATTCAAATTTTTACAATATTTGCCCCTACCCCCCATTCAAAGGGATATGGGGGTCAGGATCCATCTAATGGCATGTATATACATTCATTGTGGGGAAACTAGCCTAATAAAAAAAATTAATATTTTCCTCCAAAATGCTGAACCACCCCGGCCCTTACAACTTCGGCCCGAAAAGTTATGATAATTCAAATTTTTACAATATTTGCCCCTAACCCCCTGTCAAAGGGATATGGGGGTCAGGATCCATCTAATCGCCTGTATGTACATTCATTGTGGGGAAACTAGCCTATTCAAAAAATATAATATTTTCCTCCAAAATGCTGAACCACCCCGGCCCTTACAACTTCGGCCCGAAAAGTTATGATAATTCAAATTTTTACAATATTTGCCCCTAACCCCCTGTCAAAGGAATATGGGGGTCAGGATCCATCTAATCGCCTGTATGTACATTCATTGTGGGGAAACTAGCCTAATAAAAAAAAATAATATTTTCCTCCAAAATGCTGAACCACCCCGGCCCTTACACCTTCGGCCCGAAAAGTTGTGATAATTCAAATTTTTACAATATTTGCCCCTACCCTCCTGTCAAAGGGATATGGGGGTCAAGATCCATCTAATGGCATGTATATACATTCATTGTGGGGAAACTAGCCTATTCAAAAAATATAATATTTTACTCCAAAATGCTGAACCACCCCGGCCCTTACAACTTCGGCCCGAAAAGTTGTGATAATTCAAATTTTTCAATATTTGCCACTACGCCCCTTTCAAAGGGATATAGGGTTCAGGATCCATCTAATCGCCTGTATGTACATTCATTATGGGGAAACTAGCCAATTAAAAAAAATATATATTTTCCTCCAAAATGCTGAACCACCCCGGCCCTTACAACTTCGGCCCGAAGAGTTATGATAATTCAAATTTTTACAATATTTGCCCCTACCCCCTGTCAAAGGGATATGGGGGTCAGGATCCATCTAATCGCCTGTATGTACATTCATTGTGGGGAAACTAGCCTATTCAAAAAATATAATATTTTCCTCCAAAATGCTGAACCACCCCGGCCCTTACAACTTCGGCCCGAAAAGTTATGATAATTCAAATTTTTACAATATTTGCCCCTAACCCCCTGTCAAAGGGATATGGGGGTCAGGATCCATCTAATCGCCTGTATGTACATTCATTGTGGGGAAACTAGCCTAATAAAAAAAATAATATTTTCCTCCAAAATGCTGAACCACCCCGGCCCTTACACCTTCGGCCCGAAAAGTTGTGATAATTCAAATTTTTACAATATTTGCCCCTACCCTCCTGTCAAAGGGATATGGGGGTCAAGATCCATCTAATGGCATGTATATACATTCATTGTGGGGAAACTAGCCTATTCAAAAAATATAATATTTTCCTCCAAAATGCTGAACCACCCCGGCCCTTACAATTTCGGCCCGAAAGTTGTGATAATTCAATTTTTTACAATATTTGTCCGTACACCCCTTTCAAGGGGTTATAGGGTTCAGGATCCATCTAATCGCATGTATGTACAATCATTATGGGGAAACTAGCAAATTAAAAAAAAAAATATTTTCCTCCAAAATTCTGAACCACCCCGGCCCTTACCATTTCGGCCCGAAAGTTGTGATAACTCAAATTTTTCAATATTTGCCGCTACGCCCCTTTCAAAGAAATGTAGGGGTCAGGATCCATCTAATGGCATGTATGTACATTTATTGTGGGGAAACTAGCCTAATAAAAAAAATTAATATTTTCCTCCAAAATGCTGAACCACCCCGGCCCTTACAACTTCGGCCCGAAAAGTTGTGATAATTCAAATTTTTACAATATTTGCCCCTACCCCCCTGTCAAAGGGATATAGGCGTTAGAATCCATCTAATTGCATGTATGTACATTCATTATGGGGAAACTAGCCTTTTAAAAAAATATAATATTTTCCTCCAAAATGCTGAACCACCCCGGCCCTTACCATTTCGGCCCGAAAGTTGTGATAATTCAAATTTTTACAATATTTGCCCCTACCCCCCTGTCAAAGGGATATAGGCGTTAGAATCCATCTAATTGCATGTATGTACATTCATTATGGGGAAACTAGCCTTTTAAAAAAATATAATATTTTCCTCCAAAATGCTGAACCACCCCGGCCCTTACAACATCGGCCCGAAAAGTTGTGATAATTCAAATTTTAACAATATTTGCCCGTACACCCCTTTCAAAGGGTTATAGGGTCAGGATCGATCTAATTGTATGTATGTACATTTATTATGGGGAAACTAGCCTTTTAAAAAAATATAATATTTTCCTCCAAAATGCTGAACCACCCCGGCCCTTACAACATCGGCCCGAAAAGTTGTGATAATTCAAATTTTTACAATATTTGCCCCTACCCCCCATTCAAAGGGATATGGGGGTCAGGATCCATCTAATGGCATGTATATACATTCATTGTGGGGAAACTAGCCTAATAAAAAAAATTAATATTTTCCTCCAAAATGCTGAACCACCCCGGCCCTTACAACTTCGGCCCGAAAAGTTATGATAATTCAAATTTTTACAATATTTGCCCCTAACCCCCTGTCAAAGGGATATGGGGGTCAGGATCCATCTAATCGCCTGTATGTACATTCATTGTGGGGAAACTAGCCTATTCAAAAAATATAATATTTTCCTCCAAAATGCTGAACCACCCCGGCCCTTACAACTTCGGCCCGAAAAGTTATGATAATTCAAATTTTTACAATATTTGCCCCTAACCCCCTGTCAAAGGAATATGGGGGTCAGGATCCATCTAATCGCCTGTATGTACATTCATTGTGGGGAAACTAGCCTAATAAAAAAAATTAATATTTTCCTCCAAAATGCTGAACCACCCCGGCCCTTACACCTTCGGCCCGAAAAGTTGTGATAATTCAAATTTTTACAATATTTGCCCCTACCCTCCTGTCAAAGGGATATGGGGGTCAAGATCCATCTAATGGCATGTATATACATTCATTGTGGGGAAACTAGCCTATTCAAAAAATATAATATTTTACTCCAAAATGCTGAACCACCCCGGCCCTTACAACTTCGGCCCGAAAAGTTGTGATAATTCAAATTTTTCAATATTTGCCACTACGCCCCTTTCAAAGGGATATAGGGTTCAGGATCCATCTAATCGCCTGTATGTACATTCATTATGGGGAAACTAGCCAATTAAAAAAAAAATATATTTTCCTCCAAAATGCTGAACCACCCCGGCCCTTACAACTTCGGCCCGAAGAGTTATGATAATTCAAATTTTTACAATATTTGCCCCTACCCCCCTGTCAAAGGGATATGGGGGTCAGGATCCATCTAATCGCCTGTATGTACATTCATTGTGGGGAAACTAGCCTATTCAAAAAATATAATATTTTCCTCCAAAATGCTGAACCACCCCGGCCCTTACAACTTCGGCCCGAAAAGTTATGATAATTCAAATTTTTACAATATTTGCCCCTAACCCCCTGTCAAAGGGATATGGGGGTCAGGATCCATCTAATCGCCTGTATGTACATTCATTGTGGGGAAACTAGCCTAATAAAAAAAATTAATATTTTCCTCCAAAATGCTGAACCACCCCGGCCCTTACACCTTCGGCCCGAAAAGTTGTGATAATTCAAATTTTTACAATATTTGCCCCTACCCTCCTGTCAAAGGGATATGGGGGTCAAGATCCATCTAATGGCATGTATATACATTCATTGTGGGGAAACTAGCCTATTCAAAAAATATAATATTTTCCTCCAAAATGCTGAACCACCCCGGCCCTTACAATTTCGGCCCGAAAGTTGTGATAATTCAATTTTTTACAATATTTGTCCGTACACCCCTTTCAAGGGGTTATAGGGTTCAGGATCCATCTAATCGCATGTATGTACAATCATTATGGGGAAACTAGCAAATTAAAAAAAAAAATATTTTCCTCCAAAATTCTGAACCACCCCGGCCCTTACCATTTCAGCCCGAAAGTTGTGATAACTCAAATTTTTCAATATTTGCCGCTACGCCCCTTTCAAAGAAATGTAGGGGTCAGGATCCATCTAATGGCATGTATGTACATTTATTGTGGGGAAACTAGCCTAATAAAAAAAATTAATATTTTCCTCCAAAATGCTGAACCACCCCGGCCCTTACAACTTCGGCCCGAAAAGTTGTGATAATTCAAATTTTTACAATATTTGCCCCTACCCCCCTGTCAAAGGGATATAGGCGTTAGAATCCATCTAATTGCATGTATGTACATTCATTATGGGGAAACTAGCCTTTTAAAAAAATATAATATTTTCCTCCAAAATGCTGAACCACCCCGGCCCTTACCATTTCGGCCCGAAAGTTGTGATAATTCAAATTTTTACAATATTTGCCCCTACCCCCCTGTCAAAGGGATATAGGCGTTAGAATCCATCTAATTGCATGTATGTACATTCATTATGGGGAAACTAGCCTTTTAAAAAAATATAATATTTTCCTCCAAAATGCTGAACCACCCCGGCCCTTACAACATCGGCCCGAAAAGTTGTGATAATTCAAATTTTAACAATATTTGCCCGTACACCCCTTTCAAAGGGTTATCATACCTGCCAACCCTCCCGCATTTTCCGGGATATTCCGCATTTCTGGAATTTTAGGACCTTAAAATGCGGGAGATTCCGCATTTTGGAAATTTAAGCCAAATTGGGCTTGTATTACCATTTGCCGCGATTTGTGTGAGAGCTCTCGTATAGTATACTGTGTGTGTGTTGATGGCCGCGGAAGCTCATTTGGCTTGTAATGACGGTTTTGCAGCGTATTTGTGCCACTGATCTATAGCGTAGAGATCAGCATTATGTGTGTGTGTGTAGCGTTTGGCCTGGCATGTACGCTCCATACTTACACACACACACACGCATACAAGCGAATACAGTACATGCACGCTTCACGTGCGATCGAGCTTGAGCGAGCGGCTTTGGTTCAACGTGTAATCGTGAATGGTTACTACACTCGCAAAAGTTTGTTAGTTTTACTTATATTAGTTATAATGTCTTCCAATCCCAAGGAATACGCTTGCTTGATGGATTCATGGAGTTTACCGTACCGTACTGACTTTTTAATTGTCTAATCCAGTATTTGGAAGAAGTGTGTTGGGACTTTGGTATACAGAGTGAACGCCCGCTGCAACGCGGTACCGGAGCTGAGTCAGTGCCAGTGGAGTGGGGCCCGGGCAGCGATGCGTACCGTACACATGGTATGTACTGTGTATAGTGTGATCGATGCATGTCAAATGTTGCCGGAGCTGTTATGGGGAATTATCAAACAATCGCTACACCGCTAACCTCCCTTCTCTATTCTAGTTATAGATCTAGATAGATCTATGCCGGTGAAAACTTAAAATGGCTGAATCAAAGGCAAAAAAGAAATTTTTGCAAAGTTTCAAGGATGATTATACATCACGTTTCCCATGCATCTCTTCATCAAATAAAGGCAAGCATTATGCATTTTGTAGAGTTTGTAGATGCGATTTAAAGATTGCACATGGTGGAGCAGGTGATATTTCAATACATCTTCGCTCAAAAAAGCACATTGAAAAAGAAGTAGCAGAAGAGAAGGCCAAAAACATTCCCAAAGAAGGACGAATTAACACGTTTTTCAGAAAAGAGGATTACTCAGTAATTAATGCCGAAGTGATGTTCACTGATTTCTTGGTTGAGCACAATATTCCACTTGCTGCTGCTGATCACAGTGGCCAATTATTTCGGAGAATGTTCCCAGATTCACGAATTGCAAAACAATACAACTGTGCAAGAACAAAAGCTTCGCATGTGGTGCAGAGTCTGGCTGCCGCAGACCGTGACACTCTGGTATCGCAAATGAAAAACTCTCGGTTCAGTCTGGCAACAGATGCCAGCACCGACATGGAGGCAATTAAACTCTATCCACTTGTAATTAAAACATTTGACGAGATGGAGGGAAAAGTGTTGTGTCAGCTGTTATCACTGAAAGAATCATCAGAGCGATCGACAGGCGAAAACATTTTTGGTATACTAGATCATGAACTCAAAACTCACAACATCTCGTGGACAAATTGTGTAAGCTTATCATCTGATAATGCCTCAGTAATGCTAGGAAAGCATAAAGGAGTGGCAGCGTATGCGAAAGAACAGAATGCCAATATTTTCATCGCGGGATGTTCGTGCCATTTGATACACTTAGCTGCACAGAAGGGCAGTCAGAAACTGAAGTTTCCGTTAGATGACTTGCTTGTGGATGTCTTCTATTACATCGATAAGAGTTCGTTGCGTCATCAGGCCATAATTCGGCTGCAGAAGGAACATGGTGTTGCTACAAAGAAAATCCTGAAACATGTCTCTACCAGGTGAGTCACATACTTAAAATTTTGATAGTGGTAGAGTTATAATCAATCCCCCCCCCCTCCCTTCTCCCTACACTTCCCTCTACCAAAAATGAAAATATAAAGCATAAATCGATACACATTTACTGAAGAAAATAGAGGTTTATCATAAAATTGTGCCTAATTCAAATTTGCTATCATGTCTAAGCACTTTAAAAGAAAAGAACTACTTTTTGGCATGTGGGAAAACTCTTGGACTATGGTACAATTTTGAAAATTATATTTACAACCTAAACTACAAAGCACAAGTTAGGATTTATCGATCAAATTCCAGACTTGCTCAAGTTTGATCTTCCAGTTAATTATGTTAAGTGATAGTGATAAGAAATCTTGAATAAAGCTTATCCAAATAAAAAGTAAATGATATTATTGATATGTTTCTTAAATAACTTTATCTCTTTAAATGTTAGAGACATGTGCATTGGTACAATTAAACATACATGTATGCGCTGCTTTATTCATTTACTTCACTCAGATGGCTATCTTTGGGAAAAGTTCTAGACCGTCTTCTAGAAAATTGGTCTCCTCTTCTAGAGTTCTTCAAGGATGAGGCTACACCTAACGAGAGCAGAAAGAGGAAGGCCTCTGCAGCTGCTAATGGCAAGCAAGCCAAGAAAGTCAAGATGACGAACACCAAGCCTGTTTCAGCCGAGAGCATGTGCATGGCACGAAAACAACCTGCTTTAGCAAGTACATCCAAGAGTACTGCTGCTTCTACAAGTACATCCAAGAGTACTGCTGCTTCTACAAGTACATCCAAGAGTACTGCTGCTTCTACAAGTACATCCAAGAGTACTGCTGCTTCTACAAGTACATCCAAGAGAACTGCTGCTTCTACAAGTACATCCAAGAGTACTGCTGCTTCTACAAGTACATCCAAGAGTACTGCTGCTTCTACAAGTACATCCAAGAGTACTGCTGCTTCTACAAGTACATCCAAGAGAACTGCTGCTTCTACAAGTACATCCAAGAGTACTGCTGCTTCTACAAGTACATCCAAGAGTACTGCTGCTTCTACAAGTACATCCAAGAGTACTGCTGCTTCTACAAGTACATCCAAGAGAACTGCTGCTTCTACAAGTACATCCAAGAGTACTGCTGCTTCTACAAGTACATCCAAGAGTACTGCTGCTTCTACAAGTACATCCAAGAGTACTGCTGCTTCTACAAGTACATCCAAGAGTACTGCTGCTTCTACAAGTACATCCAAGAGTACTGCTGCTTCTACAAGTACATCCAAGAGTACTGCTGCTTCTACAAGTACATCCAAGAGTACTGCTGCTTCTACAAGTACATCCAAGAGAACTACTACTCAGTTTGATATTACACAGTACTTATTCAGACAACAGGAGTTGGCTGAGAAGCACTCCAAATCAAAAACATCAACAAATGTATCCAGTGATACCTCTGTCAAGACATCTTCCCAGAATGACTCGCTACAAGGGAAAGCAGCCCGTATCTTCCAACAACTGAATGACCCCAATTGCAAGCTTCAAGCACTTTTTTTGCAGGCTTGCTTGCCAGCTTTCGATGGTGCAAATACTGTAAGTTACTCATTCAGTATTAGTACTTGTTTGAAGTTACATTTCTTAAATATCATTTGACTTTATAGTAATTCTTCCTGAATTTAACTACTTTAAGTACCTGTACACCTGTGAATGAAAAATCATCATTAATTTGTTCCTCGTTTTCATTTTACTTCCTCATTTTCATTTTACTTCATAAATTTGTTACAACTAACTACATGTAGTTTAAGAGTTGTGCAAGTAGCACCCCCAGCCTGTTTATCATTCATTCATATTTAAATAAGTTGTTGCATACATTGAAACAAAAGTAATACCCATGTACATTTGATGAAAATTCTGTTTTTGTGTGCATGCGTTACATATTGTTTTGTAACAAGACAGATCACTGAAAGACGTTCATAAATCATAAGTTCTACACAAATGTTTCTGTTAATATAACCATTTACTAATCTTGTTTGCATGCTTTATATTATTGTCATTTTGCATTTTTTTCTTTGATGATTTAGATGTATAATCTTGATGTTGCTGATTGTATCTCAGGTGCCTTAATGGTAATTATGAATATTTCAGAATGAATCTTTCTCATGAAGACACCAGATTTACATGACATGCATGTACCTTGATTTTCCTTTTTAAGCTATTTAGAAATTAAATTTTAATTTCAGTTATGAGTGTATCTATCTCATTATGTGCATTTGAATTATTCAAGTTGAGAATTATTACCTATATTCAGACACACAGTGTACACACCGTGTAGTGTAGGCCTGTTCTATACTGTACAAGGAGTAAGTTACACATAAATTTGAGGACATCATCATTCTAAAGATAAGATAAAAGAAATGACACTTATTGATTGTATTAAAAGAGAAGGGTTTAGTTGTGTTCAGATTAATTTTGATGATTGACATATCATTTCAATTCAGAATAAATAATTCATGTTAAAGCATTTATATTTCATGCTGGTCTTTTAATTTCACTTTTATTTTGTCCACAACAGGTACTACAAAGTGATGAACCATATATTCATCGAATACACAGAATACTGTTAGATCAGCTAGCATCACTGTTATCAAAATTTGTGAAACCTTCTGCAATTGTTGCTGCTGAAGACATTACCAAGCTAGACTTAGCAAATGAAGACAATCATAAAGACAATGAGGATATTCATATTGGTTTTGAATGTAGGCAGTTTCTCAAGGACAATGAAGACAAACTAGATGTTGCAACATTCTACACTTCTGCTAAGAACTTTTTGAGTGCTTCCTCATCATACATGATCCAGAAGTATGCATTTAATGATGATCTGCTGCTCAATGCAGAAGTGCTAGATATTTCAGCAAGGCTTCACAAGAAGTTCAGTTCTGTTGAGTACTTCATCAAAAGATTCAACCTGCTTCCCCTTGACAAAATGGACAAAGTTGAATCTGAATTCTTGAGCTATCAGATTGACAAAGATATTGTCAATATAGATATTGAAGATGGGAGAATTGATGAGAAATGGCACAAAATTGGACAGCTAAGAGACTTCTCAACAAATTGTCCAAAGTATGCTCTCCTGACTTCAGTTATGAAATGCATACTAGTAGTGTTCCACAGCAACAGTGATTGTGAACGCATCTTTTCAATTGTTGAAAAAAACAAAACTAAGCAAAGGGCTAGTTTAGGGACACCAACATTAGGTGCATTACTCATCCATAAGTTGGCAGTGCAGAGTAGGGGCAAGAAGTGTTTCTCCTCTGAATATTCCCCAGAAACACTCAAGGCAGCAAAGAGTGCAACTTATCAAGCCCTGTCAGGCCAATCTACACCCTTGTAATGGTCAGTAACAATTGTACAACTAGCAAGATGGGTTAATAATAATAATAATAATAATACATAACATTTATTAGGCGCTTAATACTGATGTTTCTAAGCGCACAGTGTTCTGATTAAGAGAAGACTATAACCCGTAGAATTAAATTAGAAGAAAAAGCAAAAATACAAAAGTAACATAGATAAGGTAAGAAAAACAGTGGCAATCAACTAAATAAAGACAAAGACAAATATGGTGCGCACCTCCATTGACCGACGCACAACTGCAATTAATGGTTAGCCAGAGCCCGGCATTTCATTTCGTTTGTGCCATAATGCTTCAGTTTTCGGGGGCGCTGCACCCTAACCCCCGCAAAGGCGCTGCCCCTGCTACATATTCTTAATTCTTATTTTCAAATGTTGGCAGGTATGGGTTATAGGGTCAGGATCGATCTAATTGTATGTATGTACATTCATTATGGGGAAAGTAGCCTTTTAAAAAAATATAATATTTTCCTCCAAAATGCTGAACCACCCCGGCCCTTACAACATCGGCCCGAAAAGTTGTGATAATTCAAATTTTTACAATATTTGCCCCTACCCCCCATTCAAAGGGATATGGGGGTCAGGATCCATCTAATGGCATGTATATACATTCATTGTGGGGAAACTAGCCTAATAAAAAAAATTAATATTTTCCTCCAAAATGCTGAACCACCCCGGCCCTTACAACTTCGGCCCGAAAAGTTATGATAATTCAAATTTTTACAATATTTGCCCCTAACCCCCTGTCAAAGGAATATGGGGGTCAGGATCCATCTAATCGCCTGTATGTACATTCATTGTGGGGAAACTAGCCTAATAAAAAAAATTAATATTTTCCTCCAAAATGCTGAACCACCCCGGCCCTTACACCTTCGGCCCGAAAAGTTGTGATAATTCAAATTTTTACAATATTTGCCCCTACCCTCCTGTCAAAGGGATATGGGGGTCAAGATCCATCTAATGGCATGTATATACATTCATTATGGGTAAACTAGCCTATTCAAAAAATATAATATTTTCCTCCAAAATGCTGAACCACCCCGGCCCTTACAACTTCGGCCTGAAAAGTTGTGATTATTCAAATTTTTCAATATTTGCCACTACGCCCCTTTCAAAGGGATATAGGGTTCAGGATCCATCTAATCGCCTGTATGTACATTCATTATGGGGAAACTAGCCAATTAAAAAAAATATATATTTTCCTCCAAAATGCTGAACCACCCCGGCCCTTACAACTTCGGCCCGAAGAGTTATGATAATTCAAATTTTTACAATATTTGCCCCTACCCCCCTGTCAAAGGGATATGGGGGTCAGGATCCATCTAATCGCCTGTATGTACATTCATTGTGGGGAAACTAGCCTATTCAAAAAATATAATATTTTCCTCCAAAATGCTGAACCACCCCGGCCCTTACAACTTCGGCCCGAAAAGTTATGATAATTCAAATTTTTACAATATTTGCCCCTAACCCCCTGTCAAAGGGATATGGGGGTCAGGATCCATCTAATCGCCTGTATGTACATTCATTGTGGGGAAACTAGCCTAATAAAAAAAATTAATATTTTCCTCCAAAATGCTGAACCACCCCGGCCCTTACACCTTCGGCCCGAAAAGTTGTGATAATTCAAATTTTTACAATATTTGCCCCTACCCTCCTGTCAAAGGGATATGGGGGTCAAGATCCATCTAATGGCATGTATATACATTCATTGTGGGGAAACTAGCCTATTCAAAAAATATAATATTTTCCTCCAAAATGCTGAACCACCCCGGCCCTTACAATTTCGGCCCGAAAGTTGTGATAATTCAATTTTTTACAATATTTGTCCGTACACCCCTTTCAAGGGGTTATAGGGTTCAGGATCCATCTAATCGCATGTATGTACAATCATTATGGGGAAACTAGCAAATTAAAAAAAAAAATATTTTCCTCCAAAATTCTGAACCACCCCGGCCCTTACCATTTCGGCCCGAAAGTTGTGATAACTCAAATTTTTCAATATTTGCCGCTACGCCCCTTTCAAAGAAATGTAGGGGTCAGGATCCATCTAATGGCATGTATGTACATTTATTGTGGGGAAACTAGCCTAATAAAAAAAATTAATATTTTCCTCCAAAATGCTGAACCACCCCGGCCCTTACAACTTCGGCCCGAAAAGTTGTGATAATTCAAATTTTTACAATATTTGCCCCTACCCCCCTGTCAAAGGGATATAGGCGTTAGAATCCATCTAATTGCATGTATGTACATTCATTATGGGGAAACTAGCCTTTTAAAAAAATATAATATTTTCCTCCAAAATGCTGAACCACCCCGGCCCTTACCATTTCGGCCCGAAAGTTGTGATAATTCAAATTTTTACAATATTTGCCCCTACCCCCCTGTCAAAGGGATATAGGCGTTAGAATCCATCTAATTGCATGTATGTACATTCATTATGGGGAAACTAGCCTTTTAAAAAAATATAATATTTTCCTCCAAAATGCTGGACCACCCCGGCCCTTACAACATCGGCCCGAAAAGTTGTGATAATTCAAATTTTAACAATATTTGCCCGTACACCCCTTTCAAAGGGTTATAGGGTCAGGATCGATCTAATTGTATGTATGTACATTCATTATGGGGAAAGTAGCCTTTTAAAAAAAATATAATATTTTCCTCCAAAATGCTGAACCACCCCGGCCCTTACAACATCGGCCCGAAAAGTTGTGATAATTCAAATTTTTACAATATTTGCCCCTACCCCCCATTCAAAGGGATATGGGGGTCAGGATCCATCTAATGGCATGTATATACATTCATTGTGGGGAAACTAGCCTAATAAAAAAAATTAATATTTTCCTCCAAAATGCTGAACCACCCCGGCCCTTACAACTTCGGCCCGAAAAGTTATGATAATTCAAATTTTTACAATATTTGCCCCTAACCCCCTGTCAAAGGAATATGGGGGTCAGGATCCATCTAATCGCCTGTATGTACATTCATTGTGGGGAAAGTAGCCTAATAAAAAAAATTAATATTTTCCTCCAAAATGCTGAACCACCCCGGCCCTTACACCTTCGGCCCGAAAAGTTGTGATAATTCAAATTTTTACAATATTTGCCCCTACCCTCCTGTCAAAGGGATATGGGGGTCAAGATCCATCTAATGGCATGTATATACATTCATTGTGGGGAAACTAGCCTATTCAAAAAATATAATATTTTCCTCCAAAATGCTGAACCACCCCGGCCCTTACAACTTCGGCCTGAAAAGTTGTGATTATTCAAATTTTTCAATATTTGCCACTACGCCCCTTTCAAAGGGATATAGGGTTCAGGATCCATCTAATCGCCTGTATGTACATTCATTATGGGGAAACTAGCCAATTAAAAAAAATATATATTTTCCTCCAAAATGCTGAACCACCCCGGCCCTTACAACTTCGGCCCGAAGAGTTATGATAATTCAAATTTTTACAATATTTGCCCCTACCCCCCTGTCAAAGGGATATGGGGGTCAGGATCAATCTAATCGCCTGTATGTACATTCATTGTGGGGAAACTAGCCTATTCAAAAAATATAATATTTTCCTCCAAAATGCTGAACCACCCCGGCCCTTACAACTTCGGCCCGAAGAGTTATGATAATTCAAATTTTTACAATATTTGCCCCTACCCCCCTGTCAAAGGGATATGGGGGTCAGGATCCATCTAATCGCCTGTATGTACATTCATTGTGGGGAAACTAGCCTATTCAAAAAATATAATATTTTCCTCCAAAATGCTGAACCACCCCGGCCCTTACAACTTCGGCCCGAAAAGTTATGATAATTCAAATTTTTACAATATTTGCCCCTAACCCCCTGTCAAAGGGATATGGGGGTCAGGATCCATCTAATCGCCTGTATGTACATTCATTGTGGGGAAACTAGCCTAATAAAAAAAATTAATATTTTCCTCCAAAATGCTGAACCACCCCGGCCCTTACACCTTCGGCCCGAAAAGTTGTGATAATTCAAATTTTTACAATATTTGCCCCTACCCTCCTGTCAAAGGGATATGGGGGTCAAGATCCATCTAATGGCATGTATATACATTCATTGTGGGGAAACTAGCCTATTCAAAAAATATAATATTTTCCTCCAAAATGCTGAACCACCCCGGCCCTTACAATTTCGGCCCGAAAGTTGTGATAATTCAATTTTTACAATATTTGTCCGTACACCCCTTTCAAGGGGTTATAGGGTTCAGGATCCATCTAATCGCATGTATGTACAATCATTATGGGGAAACTAGCAAATTAAAAAAAAAAATATTTTCCTCCAAAATTCTGAACCACCCCGGCCCTTACCATTTCGGCCCGAAAGTTGTGATAACTCAAATTTTTCAATATTTGCCGCTACGCCCCTTTCAAAGAAATGTAGGGGTCAGGATCCATCTAATGGCATGTATGTACATTTATTGTGGGGAAACTAGCCTAATAAAAAAAATTAATATTTTCCTCCAAAATGCTGAACCACCCCGGCCCTTACAACTTCGGCCCGAAAAGTTGTGATAATTCAAATTTTTACAATATTTGCCCCTACCCCCCTGTCAAAGGGATATAGGCGTTAGAATCCATCTAATTGCATGTATGTACATTCATTATGGGGAAACTAGCCTTTTAAAAAAATATAATATTTTCCTCCAAAATGCTGAACCACCCCGGCCCTTACCATTTCGGCCCGAAAGTTGTGATAATTCAAATTTTTACAATATTTGCCCCTACCCCCCTGTCAAAGGGATATAGGCGTTAGAATCCATCTAATTGCATGTATGTACATTCATTATGGGGAAACTAGCCTTTTAAAAAAATATAATATTTTCCTCCAAAATGCTGGACCACCCCGGCCCTTACAACATCGGCCCGAAAAGTTGTGATAATTCAAATTTTAACAATATTTGCCCGTACACCCCTTTCAAAGGGTTATAGGGTCAGGATCGATCTAATTGTATGTATGTACATTCATTATGGGGAAAGTAGCCTTTTAAAAAAATATAATATTTTCCTCCAAAATGCTGAACCACCCCGGCCCTTACAACATCGGCCCGAAAAGTTGTGAT